CTTAAACACTTTTGGAACTCGAGAGGAAAAATCATAACATTGCTAATAGCTAATGTGTGTTTTAAAATCTTAGCAAGTGTAATAAATAAAAGAAAATTAGGAAAGTAAAAAGTACACTAAAGTGTTGCCACTTCGAGGTGGAGGAAAGTTCCAACCATCATTTATTGAACACTGTGGGGAAAGCTTCTACTGTGTTTCATTGATTCATTTCAACCTGTGAGGCTCCCCCGAACCCCCAGTTAACAGCATAAGATAATCAGGAAAAAGGAGATTTTCTTTTCAGGGTCACATATGGTGTGCAACAGAGTCAGGAATTGAATGTAGACTATTTCTAGAAATTAAGCTAATATCACCTAACCCCGATTCTCTTAATTAACCCTGATTCTCTTAATAAGATTAATTAAGAGTAAAACCTAAGTAACTTTCTTTAAAAGTGAATATGACTTTTAATTTGAGATTTAATTTGAAATCTACCTTTTGTGATTAATGATGTGTGGTCCCTATTGCTTATTACCTTCTTGACTTTGGACAATTTATGTATTTATGTTTGCCCCCATCTCCTCCTATGTAACTGAGGATTTAAAACAATGATGTGGAGGGCACATCTGATAGTATTTATAACAGTTGTATCTATGCAAAATGCTAGTTCCTGTGCTAATTTCATTTTATGTTCTTGGTTACCAAAACTTTGACCTAGTTTTTAAATATGCTATAAATTCATAGCAAAATATAAGAGAAATGACTATAGTAGGAGAGGAAACAGGCATGATGAGCTTGCTGTATCCTCAGGCATTTTCCTTTTTGAGCCACAATGATTTCAAAGTGGAATGTGTATTTCTGTATCAGAAGCTGCAGGGCTGACCTTGAGGGAAGTCAAGATACTTAGTTAAAGTAATATAATGCTATAATCCTGTTTCCATTGAAATTTTACTAAATGGGGCATTTGAAAATATTTTAAGAAACTTTCTAAAATGATTAATTTTTAAACTTCAACTTTACATAAATCTCAAATTCATTGTAAGGCATTATTCCAACATTGAAAGTAAAATTATTACTACATTTATTTACTCTCCCAACTTTATACCTTTTTGGAAAATCAATAGTTTCCCTTTTATTATGAGGGTATATGTGTATGTTTATTTTTTACCCAAGGTCCCATTTTTGTTTTGTGGATTGTTCCCACTGTTTGATCATCTTATTGCCTGTTAATATGTATGTAATTCAATATGGATTAGAGTTTCCATATTCCAAGAAGTTTAGCTAACCGATATATGGAAGAGGTTACACACACACAGACACACACACGGGGTGGGGGGGGAGATTTTGTCATATGATTTAAAGAGATTGCATATGGTGTCTCATCAGGCCTGCATATCTAGTTTGTTTGTCTAGGTAAGTATTTTAAGTATTTTGAAAAGGTTCCTACTGTTTACATTAGGAAGAGTTCATAGAAAAATCTGTAATTTTTTATTTTTATGTTCTTGAGTAATTACATGATTGAACAAAATATGCTATGTTACAATGAGCTGTAACTATTAAATAGAGGCTATGCTTTTAGGTGAAGCTTATACTTTCCATCTCAACAGAGTTTCTTTCTGCATTGCTTTCTTAAATTATTTTATCATCAGCTTTGCAATTTTGTGTTTCTTTTGTTGGGTCAATTCTTCATATTTGTGACGCCTGCCTGGCTCCTGTGGGTGGTTCAGTTTGTATCCCCTTGAATAAAAACTATCTGTGAGACTGGGATTATTTCAGGCAGTGTTCCATATCAGCACATTTTGCCCTACCTCATTTTTTTTCAGTGGTTGTCATATAATTTATGTTTGGATACTCCACAGTTCATTCACCTAGCTTCCCATTGTTGCAAAAGTGGTTATTTTCTATGGTTTTGTATTGCAAATAATGCCATAAAGAATAAATACTAGAATAAATACTGTCGTACCCATAGATGTATATGCATCTTTGTGTGATGTTTATCCAAAGGACAAATTTCTAGAAATAGAGTTACTTATTTGAAGAGTGTTATTTTGAAATTTTATAGCTGTTGCCAAATTGTTTTCTAATTTATATTTTAACTAAGAGCATTAGAAAATGTCTTTTCTCCTGAACTGTATCCCAGCCATATAGACTATCATATGTTTCTGGGTCTTTTAGGTGGAAAACTGAATTTTGAAGTTTAGGTTTGCACTTAAGTTGTATATGAGTTTGATCATCGTTTCTAATGTTTACTGGCCACTTGAGTTTCATTTTCTATGAACTCTTGGACTTACTTACTTTTAAAATATTAAAGTGTGTAAGTTTGATCTCTTTGGAAGTTATTTTGGTTTTAGAGGTCTACTTTTTGATGACAAACTTACAGATTTCAATATTTTATTGAAGAAGCCATCCTTGCTGTTTTGAAATGCCCTTTTATCACATATTGAATTTTTACTTCTGCTTGATACTATTTCAGAAACTCAGTTTTGCTCTGTAGATCTACTTTAAATTATTTCAGTTCCCTAAATTTTATAAAACCAGTTTTACAAACCCAGGAAAATTCCTATGAATATAATATAATATAATTTTTCTGTTTTAATAATGTGAAAAATTATAGTTTTAGGAAAAGTACTTTGTTTTTCTTAAAATGGTAGTTATTTGTTATACATGATTAGAACAATGCAAAGAAACCTTACCAAAATAATCTTCACTGATATTAAGAGTATATCATTGTTGATATTTTTATATACTTATCTTTACATAAAAGGTTAGAAAAAAGGTTTAATAGAAATACTATAATGAAACATGAGAAAATAAATGTCTGTTAACTTTAAAGAAAGAAACTAAAGTGAAATGGAAGGAAGAAATTATTGGAATTCATATACAACTTTCTTTACCTTAAATGAAGTGTTATGTCTTAAATGCTCATCTAAGATTAATAAATTAAAAAGCATAGTGATGACAGCCTTAAATGTTACTCAGCGTTGAGCTATTCTCTGCTATAAAATTTCATCCCCCTTTCACTCATCCTTTTTTTTAAATATAATATTTTTACTTTGTCAGTTGAGATCTTTTTTTATGATCACACTCACACAGTTTCGCAATTGTCTAGCCAAGGTTCTGTATTTAAGGAGTCTGTTCTTAGCCACACTCCTACAATAACTGTTCATTCTTGTATGTGTTTGTTTTTAATCTTTTGTCATTTAGAAAAATGGAAAGTAGCTTATTTTTCTTCAAGAATGGTTCATTAGTGTCATTGACTAAAATTCAATTTTAATTTGACAATATTTAAAAAAATCCCTTAGATATGAATAGAAACTTGTCTCCTAGGATATTCTTAGATTACTACTTATCCTTCTTAGAACTGTGTGGAGTTGGCTTTGTCTTTTGGTTTTTAATTAATGTTGCCTTTTTTCGCCTGGTTGTCTATAGACTCATTCTTTTTTTTTTTTACCTTTTGAATTTCAGTTGCTTAAATTGGGATGTATTTTGTGTGTTTGTTTCCCAAACTTTACTTAAAACAGTATGCTCTTTTAAGTATGTGGATTTAGTTCTTTAGGAAAATTTTTCAGTTTTATATCTTCGACATTCATTTTATTTAGTTTTATTTTTCAGTCACCAGCTATCCATATTTGGATTATTTTTTTGTGTGTGTCTATTTTGGGTATGTCTTAGGTTCTCTTTAATATATTCAAATTTGTTTTTCTTTAATTATTTCAGTTCTCAATTGTTCATTTAAGTAATTGCTTTTTTTGCTAAAGTATGTACTTTTCTTTCTGACTCTAACTTGTTTTTCATTATCTACTGATATAATTTATTCCTCTATTTATTTCCTTAAGTCTACAATCTCCTTTTGCTTTTCATTCTGTTGTTTTGTCATATAATCTTTCAGCTCTTGTTTTGGGTTTATTTTTAATTAAGTTGTTGTGTAATGTGAATTATTTGTAAAATGGTTTATTTTCTATATAGCTAAGTTGAGATGTTGTTCATTACTCTGCACATCAAATTTTTTATATTCCTTGAATATTCTTTACCTAGATTCCTGCCATCTTTCTGGGAAAGACTGCTTACCCCTCAGGTTATGGGGAGGTGTAGAGAAGCTTAGTGGCATTGCCTAGTTCATTGTATAGTTCTGGAACCTTCACTTCTGACATAGAGCAACTGCCACATGGTTTACTTCTCCAGTTTTACCCAGTTTGTTTCTTACTGGATATAGGGGATACTAATGAAAATAGGGTAATACTTTTTGGTGTACCAGTACCTACTCCAGGGGAACTGGGAGAGGGTCAGGAGCAGGCATGTGCTGTTCTTGGTCATGAAATCTTTGATTTCTTCTTGTGGCCACTGGCTTTTGTACTTTGATATGATGTATGTTCTTGCCATGCTTAGTTGCTTTAAGGAAGGAAAAGGCTGTAGGCCAAATCTGGCCCACCACCTGTTATTGTAAATAAAGTGTTATTGGAAGACAGCCCCACCCACTCATTAACTTACTGTCCATGGCCCTTTCGTACTTCAGAGACACCCTTGAGTAGCTGTGACAGCGACCATATGGCTGACAAAGCCTAAAATATTTGCCGTCTGCCCCTTCACAGGGAAAGTTTGCCAAACCCTGCAGTAGGCTAATTTTATTTTTCTTGCTGAATTTTGACTGTGTTACTTTCATTTTTTTAGGAACTAGAGCAGGGGGATGTGGAGATTCTGTTTCATTACACTCTCTTGACATGGAAGTTGCTGTAATGCTAGTTTTTTAAAAATAATACATGGAATAGTATAACCATCATATTTCCTCTCTCATACCAGGGCTTGAAGTTACAAAAAATGCCAGTTAGATTAGCTCAGTGTATTTTAAATAAGAATGATTCCATTCTACCTAGTAGCCTCTACTAATAATGAATTATTCATATTATTTCTCTTTAATAATGTATTTTTTCCCCTGAATAAGACTAAAGAAGTTACTTAAGTCCAGTAGCTTTCTAGAAGATCATTTAATTTTCTAACTTATCTTCTTTCATACTTCTTCAAAGGTATAAGCAGTTTAGCCAAATTTTGAACAGCATTGGAGAAAATGAAGGCGGTATTGATAAGTTTTCCAGAGGCTATGAGTCATTTGGCGTCCACAGATGTGCTGATGGTGGTTTATACTGCAAAGAATGGGCCCCAGGAGCAGAAGGAGTTTTTCTTACTGGAGACTTTAGTAAGTACTTGAAAGCATTGAACTTAATAGTAATACTTAATTAACTATTTAATAGATATATTTCTTATATTTTATATATTTAACTATATGATCATTAATGGTTATGAATAAATATCAGACTTTTCAGATAGAGCATTAGAATTTTATTAAGCTCTTTGTGTGGTACAGCTGTTTCTGTTATAATGTGATACCTGTATTCTTGGAAAACTTTATGTTCTGTAAAATCATATACTAGAAATAACAAGGTTTATGAGAAAATGCTATTAGAAAGAGGACTCCAAATTTACTCAACTTTGTTAGCGAGCTCTGACAAAACCAACAGCAATCCAGGTAAAAATACTGGCATAGTTAAAGCTCCACGAGCATTCACCCCTGGCTGGCTGGATTCATAGTTCTTGGATCCTCTGTCTATCGTTATACTCTTTTTGGAGTCTTCAATAAAAGTAGATATTTAATCTGGAGGATAACCTCCATCACTCATTTCTCTTTTTTTCTTTACTTTGTTTTAGAACACAATGGGAAATATGTTCTCAGCATTGTCATTTGCACTGTTAACTGTACTAGACAGAGTTAATGCTATGGAAAGCAAAGTCAGGTTTCTAGCTGAGGGTCTGGGAGGAGGAAGGACTGTAATGTAAATAACTATAATACAATTGACTAAGTCTTCTTGAAGGGTAAATACATTACTAGAATGATGACAAGGAAGAAAGTTCACTTTTGAAAGTGGAATAATGGGAAAAAAATAGGCCTTGATAAAGGTTCTTGATACAAGGAAAAGAAATATAAAAATGATCATAATCCTTTAATACCATAGAATGATATAATATTTAAAATTTGATTTCACTGGGCTCAAAAGTCTGCATGCTGTATTATTCAATTTTTATGACATTTTAGAAACAGCAAAACTGTAGGGACAAAACAGATGATTGTTGTCAGGGGTTGAGGTGGTGGGTTATGGTTGATTACAAAGGGCCATGAGGGAACTCTTGGGGGTGGTGTGAATGTTTTACATCCTGATTATGGTGCTGGTTACCTGACCGTATGAATTTATCGAAACGTGTAGAACTGTACATGTAAAGGATGAATTTTAATGCAATGTAAATTATTCTTCAAGGAACCTGCCTTAACAGAACTTTTGGTTTTATATTAATATCATTGTCTAAGACAGTACTGTCCAACAGAAGTAAAATGCAAGCCACATATGTAATTCAGAAATTTTAGTAACAATGTTAAAAAAGTGAAAGGAGAACAGTAGAATAAAATTTAGCAATAATAAAGTGTACTGACCTCATATATAAAAATATGATTTTAACATTTAATCAATGTAAATTGTATTGAGATTTTCATTCTTTTATTGTATCACATCTTTGAAATATGGGTACAGCAAGTCTTAATTCAGACGGCAAGTTTTCATTGCAAATACAGTTATCCTTCTGTATCAATGAGGGACTTGTTTTACAACTTCTTGTGGATACCAAAATCCAAGTATGCTTAAGTCTCTTGTATAAAATGATGTAGTATTTGCGTATAACCTAGGCATATCTTCCCTTACACTGCAAATCATGTATAGATTATTAACATTACCTAATAAAACGTAAATGCCGTGTAAATATTTGTTAGACTGTATTGTTTAGGGAATAATGATAAGAAGAAAATGACTGCTTAAGTGTTTAGTACAGATGCAACCATCCATTTTTCTTTTCCAAATACTTTCCATTTAAGATTTGTTGATTCAGTAGATGCGAAACCTGAGGGCAGACTATACTTAATTTAAATTTAAATTTCAGTGTAAATGTATGTTGATATATCCAGTATTTTTCAAACAAAATTGAGTTTTCCAGTAACTGACTTGAATAACACTTTTACAATTTAAATTTAATAATTAAGATGAAATAAAATATAAGATTCAGTTTCTAAGTTGCACTAGCCTCATTTCAAGTGCTGTATTGCCTCTTGTAGCTACTAGCTTCTTTATTGGAAAGTACAGGTCTAAGGACTGAAAATAATTCATGGTGTAGCCCCAGAAATGTTTCCAGAGAGTTGGTGGAAAATTCCATGGACAGTTCTGTAAAAGATCATGAGATCTGATGATTCAGATTAGCTTGGCATTCTATTTTACTAGTTTTCTTTTTTAAAATTCCATGTAGAGGTTGAGGATATTGAGAATGTTTAGGTTAAATTTCTATATAAAGATACCCAACTACTATAAGAACCACCATTAATACCTGATAGCTATTTTTGGTCCCCCCACTCCCATATTTATGATGAAACCCACTTAATAGTTTTCATAAATACAAAAATATAGGAAAGGGACCAGGTACAGTGGCTCATGCCTGTAATCCTAGCACTTTGGGAGGCCGAGGTAGGCAGATCACCTGAAGTCTGGAGTTCAGGACCAGCCAGACCAACATGGAGAAATTCGATCTCTACTAAAAATTAGCCAGGCTTAGTGGTACATGCCTGTAATCCCAGCTACTTGTGAGGCTGAGGCAGGAGAATCGCTTGAACCCAGGAGGTAGAGGTTGCCTTGAGCTGAGATCATGCCATTGTACTCCAGCCTGGGCAACAAGAGCAAAACTCCCCCACGCCGTCTCTCCCTCCCCCATATATATATACATATATATATATATATATATATATACATATATATATATATATATATGAAGGGAACTATATGAAAACTAGATTTGTGAACTATCATAATGACTATTGCTCATTTATTAAAGTTGTGCTCTGTGTGTTTCTAGAATTGCATTTAAAATTTTTATGTTCTTGGACTTAATGCTTAAATATTAAAAGTACAGCAATTGAAAAAATATTTTATAAAGAGAAAACTAAAATTACTGGGTCCATATTTTGTTGTAAAAATGTCCTCTGCTAAGTTTTTTTTTTCCAGTATGCATTGATTTTTAAAATTCCACTCTTTATAAAGGTATATTGCATAATTTTAAATTTCTCCATATCCTTGTGATAACATTCAGTTAATGATTCTCAATCAACAAACATTTATTTAGTGACGAAGGGCACGAAAAGCAGCAGATTTAATCGGTGGGCCTTTATTTTTTTGAAGATATAAGAAAAGACTACAATAAATGAAATTGTGACAGAAAATAGTTAAGGACAGGCAGTACATTGGGAAAACTTAAATGTCTAATTTATTTTATTTTTTAGATGAAAGGATGTCTTTTTTTATGCCCAAAGTTATAGGATCTCAAAGTCTATTTGTGAATAGGATCTCAACTTTTTCTTACTAATGGGCTTTGACTTTAAAAAACAAACAAACAAAAATTTGAAAATTGAGTGTGTAGCCTGCATTTTGAGCCAATGATATATCTAGAAGGTTTCTTTAGAAAAAAGATATACACATGGGTCAGTATGGCTTTAGTGAACTCACAATTTTTATTGTGATGACAACCTGGGTGAAAATATACTCTTAGATAACGTAACTAACCGTGCCTTAAAACACACACAAACAAACACACTCACATGCACACATGCACCACACTTCAGGGTCTCTGTATTTCATCTTCCCCTTATTTATATAAAATCCATTTTTTCCCTAATAGTAGTTGAGCAAAAAAGACTTCTTCTCTTTTCTTTCTTTCTTTCTTTCTTTTTTTTTTTTTTGTGCCTACTGACCTGAGACTTTTTTAGGTACACGTCCTTAGAATAATCAAATACAAATATTGCTTAAGAAAGAAACTGCCAGCTAGTTGCAGTGGCTCAGACCTGTAATTTGTAATCCTAACCCTTTGGGATGCTGAGGTGGGTGGATCAGTCAGGTGTTTGAGACCATCTTGGGCAACAGAGCTAGACCCTATCTTTACCAGAAAATAAATGAATAAATACAAAGAAAAAATAGAGGCTGGATGCAGTGGCTCACACCTGCAATCCCAGGTCTCTGGAAGCCGAGGAGGGTGAATCACAAGGTAAGGAGTTCAAGACCAGCCTGGCCAACATGGTCAAGCCCTGTCTCTCTCAACTAAAAATACAGAAATTAGCTGGGTGTGGTGGTGGTCACCTGTAGTCCCAACTACTGAGGAGGCTGAAGCAGGAGAATTGCTTCAACTCCTTACCTTGTGATTCACCCTCCTCGGCTTACAAAGTGCTGGGATTGCAGGTGTGAGCCACTGCATCCAGCCTCTATTTTTTTCTTTGTATTTATTTATTTATTTTCTGGTAAAGATAGGGTCTAGCTCTGTTGCCCAAGATGGTCTCAACCTCAAGGTGGAGGTTGTAGTGAGCCAAGATTGCACCACTGCATTCCAGCCTGGGCGACAGATCGAGTCTCTACTAAGAAAGAAATAAAGAATGTGTATGTGTGTGTGAGAGAGAGAGAGAGAGAGAAAGACAGAGAGAGAGACAGAGAGAAAGGTTGAGAGAGGGCACCATGACTTGGTGTGTAAAATAAAAAAGGATGGCATTTAGAGTTTGAAAACACAGCTGAGCTCCCTAAACAATTGTTGTTCTTCTCTGGCTCATTGGGGATAAATGTGATGATATTTGTTTTAGCTGCCTGAGTTAATCTGGGTACTAACTAGATTGTGAGTTTAAGAAACTTTATACCTTAATCAGTGCTACAGAAATGTTAATTGGCAAGATTTAAAAAATCCTCTCTTATTCAAGGTTTTTTTTTTTTTTTAATTTCAGAAAATTACTATTAATTTCAAAAGGCACTTGAGCCTTGCATAAGTAAAACAGTCACTGTTTTGCCAAAACTATGACAGCTCTGGCTTTTGCCATCCACATTTTTAAAACTTCTTGGAAAACAGCTTCACTTTAAATATAGTACATATATTTTTCTTTATTTGAGTGAAAATAAAACAATCATTTCTTTTTCTTCTAGTCATTTTTAAACAGCTATTTTTTTTTTAGCTAACAGCTGCTGCAGCAACCTACAAGGATGGTGTATATATAATGGCATTCATCAGGCTTGGAATCTTTCCACTGAAAAAGTATTTCTGGGCAAACCAGAAACTACTCTAAAGGGTTGAGATGAA